AGAGAGAAGAGAGAGAGAGAGAGAGAGAGAGAGAGAGAGAGAGAGAGAGAGAGAGAGAGAGAGAGAGAGAGAGAGAGAGAGAGAGAGAGAGAGAGAGAGAGAGAGAGAGAGAGAGAGAGAGAGAGAGAGAGAGAGAGAGAGAGAGAGAGAGAGAGAGAGAGAGAGAGAGAGAGAGAGAGAGAGAGAGAGAGAGAGAGAGAGAGAGAGAGAGAGAGAGAGAGAGAGAGAGAGAGAGAGAGAGAGAGAGAGAACAAAAAATTACCACATGTAGCAACAGAAACAGAGACGCTTCTTTTGCGTATTTGTGCTGACAATTTTTATTTCTATCTACATCGGATGTATTTTGGTTGGGTGTTGGTCGTCTATATTTGGACAAGAAGACGATGGCATCCCCACTGGTTCTGATCACTGGAGCCAGCTCTGGTACGAACGGACTGAACGAGCCACAACGGATGAGCGAGGGCAGGCAGAGGAGCGCACCCCACGGACGCGCTCCTCTGTCCTGCGATGCGATACAATGCGATGAGTGAAACGAAACAAAAGCTCAAGAGATGGGCTGGGGCATCAAGAGGAGAAGAGGATACCTACCATGAGCTTAAGGAGGCGACATCGGGTCATACGCGGTCAGGGTCAGAGGGCGGCAAAGTGGTCAATGATGCTGATGAGCACAAATTAAAGCTCCTCGATGGCTGGATGGGTCGCGCTGATTATGATGCGTTTCAATCTTGTTGTTTGCCTGTCAGATCATCTATCTGGGGTTGGCAGAAAGCGAGAGGCCTTCGCCACGCCCTGACCTCATTCTCATTGCGTTCCTTTCCAAACGTGTAGGTATTGGCCGGGAGGCGGCCACATTGCTGAGCCTGCCGGCATACAAGAGCTGTCGCCTTGTCTTGGCGTGCCGGGATGTCGACAAGGTACGGGCGAGTTTGTGACTGTTACATCCGCAAGCTGGTCTGTCATATCTCATCCGAGTGACCATCCTGAAGGCCCAAGAGACGGCTCGGCATGTTCGAAGCACTGCCGCGGAAGCGGGCGGCCCCGAGCCGAGTATCACCATCCTGCAGCTTGATCTGGCCTCGCTAGCCTCCGTCCAGCAGTGCTACCGCGATTTTATCGCCCACTTTGGCCCTTCAGCCTCTCTCGATGTTCTCGTGCTCAATGCCGGTTCGACACTCGCTCTGGGCGTGAATGCATTCTCGTCGTAGTGCCAGGAACATCATCAGCTCAGTTCTTGCCTTCTTGCTTGGGATAGGGCGAGCCCATTTCGAGAGTCGTGTGGCACAGCTCACTGCAGATGGCTTTGAAGTAACGCTTCAGACCAACTTCCTTGGGCACGTGCTCCTGACCGAGCTCCTTCTACCACACTTACGCCGCGCTGCGCAGCCACGACTCGTGTTCCTGTCCTCGAGCCTGCACGACCCGGACAGTCGCAGCCGCTCTTCAGATGGTCGGTACACGCTGGTGTCGCACATGAACCTCTCCGTTCTCACATGGGCTGACCTTGCTCGAGCACATGGCACTCATCTCGTTGCATGTGCTTAGTTCCCACGGTGGCCACATCATCATATCGATCTGGGATTCAAAACACAAAGCCTCCACCTGACGTGGATCTAGCTACTCTTTTCAGCATCCAAGACAAAAGCCCGCTTAGTGGCCGGTACGCGACTCTTTTCGCCGCTTCTCATGCGTGCCCCGGGTGGCTTTGTCTGTGGCTGACATGACATGTGCATCCACTTGATGACCTGATGCGCCGGAATGGGTACGTAGATGGATCTACCAGACCAGCAAGCTGGCAGGCATGCTGTATCTCTATGCCTTACAACGGCGAGAAGCCGGACAGAGCCCGCTGCGTTGCTGCGCCATCTCGCCAGGTTGGCTTCCAGTTTTGGTTTTCTTCTGGTCTGGCGTCTGCTCATCAATCAGAACCCTGGAACCGCTCGCGGCTCTCACTCTTCTTGTGCCTGCCGAGTTCAGGTTTTATACCACAGACAAATCTATTTCGCAATAGCTCCGCTCTGGTACGCTGTTGCTTACGCGTCTGTCTCGACTGCCTCCTCAAGCCTTTTCGTCAGGTACGACCCGAGCCAATTCTGTTTGACCCCACCATTTCGCACTGCCTCACATTCAGCCCTTGTGCAGGTCACGCGCACGGTGCACGAAGGGGGCGTCATTATCGCCCGAGTTTGCACAGATGATGCCCTGCCCCTGGGCCGTGAGCCTTCTCATGATATGGAAGCTGAGTTGGGCTGCGCACCCACTCAAGGTGCTGGCTATTTCGTACTCAACAATGCAAGTCAAGTGGAGGCGGTGTGGTCCTCTGATCGCTCTTATCACGCCGCGCTGGCGGAGGAGCTGTACACTGCTGCCCTTGCTCGCTGTGCCCCCTATCTCTGAGCCGGCTGCGCCATTTGTGATGTGTGTCTGTGTTTCTTGAACCCATAATCCATGCCGTCGTTGTCAAGTGTCTATAGCCTTTGCGGGGGAAAAAAAAAAAAAAAAGCCGCTGATCTGTTTACAGTGGTGTAAATGACGCAATTAGTGGTGGTGGTCCAGAAGGGGCGCAGCCCGCCAGGCCTCATGCTCGATCAAGCGGACAAGTGTCGGCTTTGTGTTGCAATGTTCATTCATTCGATCGACGCACATGATTTCGTTTAGCAATCTTTTAACATGTCGGAGCAAAAAGGAGGCAAAAATGAATGTCGCGCGCAGCGCGGCATAAAAGTCAGAGATCAGGTGCTTTCGTGGTTAGGGCCAGCTTCACCACAGATGTGTGTGTGTCTGTGTGTACAATACACGGTGGCCGAGAGTTTCAAATGTGAGACAGATCGACCTCAGCCATGAGCTGTTCGAGCCAAACATCATGCTCTCGGGTGGCTACGGCTGCTGCATGGGCTTGACGGGTGACGCGTCGTTCGTGGCGATGAGTCGGCATGGCTCCACTACGTGCTGCCACATCCAAGTTGAGGCGGTGCAGCTTCTCATTCAGCGCACGGCGCAAATCCACGCGACGCCGCCGCTGCTCCCGCTCAACGGCATTGACGAGCTGAGACAAAGACAGGGGCACAGTCATGGGCGGAAGGACAAGCGACGGTCAGCCATAGGCATATGTCCAGGAGAAGCGCCGTACACGGCATACGCACCACGCGGCGACGATGTTCTGCGTCATTGAGCTCTCGCTGGGCTTGGCACCGCGCCACTTGATCCTGGCGGCGATAAGCGGGACTGACGGGGATGTGTCGCAGTTTTCCTGAGGCAGGCAGGGGCCCGACTGCCAGCGCGGTACTCGGAAGATGGTATACAATGGGAATTTGAAGTCCAGCCTGGGGGTCGCGAAGAGGCCCTCGGTGGTCAGTCGTCGGTGGCAGGTTGGAAGATTGCTTCGGACCGCGAGTTGTCTCGCGCACGAGCTTCTTCCGTTCGCGACGCGCCAGGCTGAGGAGGTCCTGGCGCCGGCGGTCATGGGCCTACCGTCGCAAGGTGGGACAGCAAGATGAAGTCGAGCAGAGGCATCAGGCGTGTGAACGACCTGCGGGGTCAGGTGCTTGGGCGTTAAAAACGGCTTGGAAAAGCAAAAATCCCAAGCGTACCAGCCAGGCAGTGTAGGCTTTGGCCAAGGTCATGCCGTCCCGTTGAAAATCGGTGACGTTGCGAGGTAAGAGTTCTCGTGGCGTGACACCCACATTGAAGCAGGCTCGCACGGATCTAACAGGTTGAGCACGCGTGCCCATGAGTGCAGCATGGTTGCCAGAGCCGTGAGCAGCAGCCGCCTTTTTTTTTTTTCGTCAGAGGCACTGTTGATGTGGATGGCGTAGGCAAGGGGTGGGCTTTGTATCGCGTTAGTCTGCATGGGGCTCATCGGCGACCTTCAAACCCCGGCGGTACCCCCACCCGTTGCCAGCATAACAACAACGCAGCGATGGTGCACCGACCGTGGTGAGTTGAGCACAAACTCGGCATGTTGGTGCCGCGGCTCATCAAAATTCTCCAGGTTAATTGAGTGCACCTCTGCCCGATCGCTCCGAGACGGCTGCTCCTCCAGAACATCCACCCACTGCTCTCGAGCCCGGCTTGCCATCGCCGTTGACCAAATCACCACCCTGAAGAGCCAGCTCAGGCGCCACCAGTCTTGAAAAAAAAAAGAAAAAAAAAAAAGCTTTGTGACCGTTACAAAAACCGACCTCCCGTTTATAAACCATTTAAACTCCGGGAACACGTCAAACAAACTCTCACTGCGTTCGGGTAAACCAAAGAACACGATCCACTACGGGGGGTCACAAACCGTCCTTGCCCTATAAACTGACCACGGACGTCGGTTGACAAGTTTGCTCCAGAGCACTTTTGTCACAGCGGGTCGAGCTGCTGTGCCAGCGTGTGACTCTCTCGCCCTTTCCCGCTCTCTCCCTCTTCATCGTCGTCGAACGTACGTATGGAAAACGGCAGCGCGGGGGGATGGCTGGTCCTGGTCTGGATTTGATGTTCGGGGGTGTATCGATCAAGGGAACAGACGTGCGCATCTGGGCAAGGCTGCAGCTGTATCATTGGAGCAAGGGTGCACACTGCCGAGTGCTTTGGTTGAGCGTGAACACCAGTGTTTTTTTCTTTTTCTCGTCAAGCCGTTTTTTTTTTTTTCGCCCTTCTGGTGTTGTCGGTGTTGATCGCTCGGGGTCTGGGACCGCCGGTCTTTTGATTGGACTGCTTGCCGTGTGGTGTCATGGGATAGGGCTAGTGTTCTAGAAGAAGGGGCTGTTTGTGGTGTCTGCATGTGGACTTGGGGCTGACTGGGACTTTGAAGGCTGACGGGAGAGTTGCTGTTCAAATGCCTTGTTGATCGTTCTCACCATTTTCTCGTTTTGCCCGCGCATTTTGGCTCCTTTTTCCATCTTGCTTTGCCGTGCTCAGGCCAGTCATGGCGTTCAACGCGGGTGCGTCGGGCATGCCGCCCACGCCACCCAGCGATGAGCAGCTGGAGGCCAAGGCGCGCAAGTGGCGTCAGCTGCAGTCCAAGCGTTACTCGGAGAAGCGCAAATTTGGCTTTGTCGACACCCAGAAGCAAGAGTACCCACCCTCGGTCATCCGCACCATTATTCGAGACCATGGTGACATGTCCAGCCGCAAGTTTCGCCATGACAAGCGCGTGTACCTGGGCTCACTCAAATACATGCCCCACGCTGTGCTCAAGCTTCTTGAGAACATGCCCATGCCCTGGGAACAGGTACAGCAGCACAGCTCGTTTGCAGGCAGCAGCACAGTGGCGGAGGCGCGAGAGACAAATACACAAACCCTTAGCCGCTCGCTTGGACCTCCTTCCCCCTTGTTTGCGTGTTTCATGACAAGATTTCACCACCAGTCCTTTTGAACTGCTTGACCTGCCACCTTGCTCACTGGCCGTTCTCCCGCCACTCGCGTCCGCAAACCTCTTCCGTTCCACTTGATTCTTAGATCCGTGAGGTGCCCATCCTGTATCACGTGACTGGCGCCATTACGTTTGTGAACGAGGTGCCTTTTGTGATTGAGCCCGTGTATATCGCGCAGTGGGGTACCATGTGGATCATGATGCGTCGCGAGAAGCGCGATCGCCGTCACTTTAAGCGCATGCGCTTCCCGCCCTTTGATGACGAAGAACCCCCACTGGATTATGGTGACAACGTCCAGGACGTGCCACCCCTCGACGCCATTCAGATGGAGCTGGATGAGGAGGAGGATGCCCCCGTGTACGAGTGGTTCTACGACCACAAGCCCCTGCTGGACACGGGCCTCGTCAACGGTGAGACCTACCGGAAGTGGACCTTGCCTTTGCCCATCATGTCCAACCTGCAACGCCTCGCCGGGCAACTGCTATCCGACTTGACGGACAACAACTACTTTTATCTCTTTGACCTCAAGTCCTTTTTCACGGCCAAGGCCCTCAACTTTGCCATTCCCGGTGGTCCCAAGTTTGAGCCCCGCTTCCGTGACGATGGCATCACCGACGACGACTGGAACGAGTTTAATGACATTAACAAAATCATCATCCGTCACCACATTCGTTCCGAGTACCGCATTGCCTTTCCATACCTGTACAACAACATGCCACGTGAGGTGCATCTGGCCAAGTACCACTCCCCCACTGTCGTCTTTATCAAGTCGGACGATCCGGATCAGCCCGCCTTTTATTATGATCCAATCATCAACCCCATTGCCAACCGCCAGGCCAACAATCTGGATGAGATTGAGCCCGAAGACGAGGAGTTTATCCTGCCCGACGAGGTCGAGCCCTTTTTGGCCGAGACCCCGCTCTACACGGAGAACACGGCCAACGGCATCACCCTGCTCTGGGCCCCACGCCCCTTCAACTTGCGCTCGGGCTTTACTCGCCGTGCACAAGACGTGCCCCTCGTTAATACCTGGTACCAGGAGCACTGCCCCACTGGCCAGCCCGTCAAGGTTCGCGTGTCCTACCAGAAGATGCTGAAGATTTTCGTTCTCAACTCGCTCAAGGCCCGCCCTCCCAAACCTTGCAAGAAGCGTTCGCTCTTCCGCTCCTTCAAGCAGACCAAGTTCTTCCAGATGACGCGCCTTGATTGGGTGGAAGCTGGTCTCCAGGTCTGCCGCCAGGGCCACAACATGCTCAATCTGCTCATTCATCGCAAGCAACTCAACTACCTCCATCTTGATTTCAACTTCAACCTGAAGCCTGTCAAGACACTGACCACCAAGGAGCGCAAAAAATCGCGCTTCGGTAACGCCTTCCACTTGATGCGTGAAATCTTGCGCCTGACCAAGCTTGTGGTCGACTCGCACGTCCAGTACCGCCTGGGCAACGTTGACGCCTTTCAGTTGGCGGATGGTCTCCAGTACACCTTTGCCCACGTTGGTCAACTCACCGGCATGTACCGTTACAAGTACAAGCTCATGCGCCAGATTCGTATGGTACGTGACCTTGCTCCTCGTGGCACGGAGAAATCTGTTTGAGACCTCCTTTCTCGGGACGGCGACATGTTTTGTTTGCATTCGATTACCTTCGCGCCCGCTCTTTTTCTCACCGCCTTTTCGCCCTGTCTTTTCGCCGGCGACACCAATCTTCTTTTCGTGATCGTTTTTTTATAGACCAAGGATTTGAAGCACATCATTTACTATCGCTTCAATACCGGACCCGTCGGCAAGGGCCCCGGCGTGGGTTTCTGGGCGCCTGGCTGGCGCGTATGGCTCTTTTTCCTGCGTGGCATTGTGCCCCTTCTTGAGCGATGGTTGGGTAATCTGTTGGCCCGTCAGTTCGAAGGTCGCGTGTCCAAGGCCGTTGCCAAGACAGTGACCAAGCAGCGCGTCGAATCTCATTTCGATCTCGAGCTGCGCGCCTCTGTCATGCACGACATTCTTGATATGATGCCCGAGGGCATGAAGGCCAACAAGGCCCGCGTCATCATGCAGCACCTTTCAGAGGCTTGGCGTTGCTTCAAGGCTAACATTCCCTGGAAAGTCCCGGGCCTGCCCACGCCCATTGAGAACATGATCTTGCGTTACGTCAAGAGCAAGGCCGACTGGTGGACCAACACGGCCCACTACAACCGCGAGCGTATCCGTCGTGGTGCCACTGTCGACAAGACCGTCTGCAAGAAGAACCTGGGTCGCCTTACTCGTCTCCACCTCAAGGCTGAGCAGGAGCGCCAGCACAACTACCTCAAGGATGGCCCCTACGTCTCAGCCGAGGAGGCCGTTGCTATTTACACCACCACTGTCCACTGGCTCGAGTCGCGCCGCTTCAAGCACATCCCTTTCCCGCCGCTTACCTACAAGCACGACACCAAGCTGCTGATTCTTGCCCTCGAACGCCTCCGCGAGGCGTACAGCGTCAAGAACCGCCTCAACGCCTCGCAGCGCGAGGAGCTTGGCCTGATTGAGGCCGCTTACGACAATCCCCACGAGGCCCTCATGCGCATTAAGCGCCATCTCCTGACCCAGCGTGCCTTTAAGGAGGTGGGCATTGAGTTTATGGACATGTACTCGCACCTCGTGCCCGTGTACGACGTCGAACCTCTGGAGAAGATTACCGATGCCTACCTGGATCAATATCTCTGGTACGAGGCTGATAAGCGCAAGCTCTTCCCCTCATGGGTCAAGCCCTCCGACACGGAGCCCCCGCCGCTGCTCGTGTACAAGTGGTGCCAGGGCGTGAACAACCTGCAGGATGTCTGGGAGACGGCCGAGGGCGAATGCAACGTTATGATGGAGACATCGCTGGAGCGCATCTACGAAAAGATGGATCTCACCCTTCTCAACCGTCTGCTTCGCCTCGTCGTCGACCAAAACGTGGCCGACTACATGACGGCCAAGAACAACATTGTCATCAACTTCAAGGACATGAACCACACCAACTCCTATGGCCTCATTCGCGGCCTGCAGTTTGCCTCCTTCATTGTGCAGTACTACGGTCTCGTCATTGATCTCCTGGTCCTCGGCCTGAACCGTGCCTCGGAGATGGCTGGTCCACCCCACCTGCCCAACGACTTTTTGACCTTTCAAGACGTTGCCACCGAGACCTCGCACCCGATTCGCCTGTACTCACGCTACATTGACCGCATTCACATGTTCTTCCGCTTCACTGCGGAGGAGGCGCGTGACCTCATCCAGCGTTATCTCACCGAGCACCCCGATCCCAACAACGAGAACATTGTTGGCTACAACAACAAAAAGTGCTGGCCCCGTGATGCGCGCATGCGTCTCATGAAGCACGACGTCAACCTCGGTCGCGCCGTCTTTTGGGATATCAAGAACCGCCTCCCGCGCTCCCTCACCACCATCGAGTGGGAGAACAGCTTCTGCTCGGTCTACTCCAAGGACAATCCCAACCTGCTCTTTAACATGTGTGGCTTCGACGTCCGCATTCTTCCCAAGCTTCGCGCCCAGGCCCACGACTTTAAGCACCAGGATGGTGTCTGGAATCTTCAGCACGAGATCACGAAGGAGCGCACCGCCCAAGCCTTCCTCCGCGTGGACGAAGACTCGTTGCAAAAGTTCCACAACCGCATCCGTCAGGTCCTCATGTCCTCGGGTAGCACGACCTTCACCAAGATTATCAACAAGTGGAACACGGCCCTCATTGGCCTCATGACCTACTACCGCGAGGCCGTTGTCAACACGCAGGAGCTCCTGGACCTGCTCGTCAAGTGCGAGAACAAGATTCAAACGCGTGTCAAGATCGGGCTCAACTCTAAGATGCCTTCCCGTTTCCCGCCCGTCGTCTTTTACTGCCCCAAGGAGCTCGGCGGCCTGGGCATGCTTTCCATGGGCCACGTGCTCATCCCCCAGTCAGATCTGCGCTGGAGCAAGCAGACGGACGTGGGCATTACTCACTTCCGAAGCGGCATGTCCCACGACGAGGATCAGCTGATCCCCAACCTCTACCGCTACTTGCAGCCCTGGGAGTCTGAATTCATCGACTCGCAGCGCGTCTGGGCCGAATTTGCGCTCAAGCGCCAAGAGGCCAACGCGCAAAACCGCCGATTGACGCTCGAGGATCTCGAGGACTCGTGGGATCGTGGTATTCCTCGCATCAACACGCTGTTCCAGAAGGACCGCCATACGCTGGCTTATGACAAGGGCTGGCGCGTGCGCACTGAGTTCAAGATGTACCAAGTCTTGCGGAACAACCCCTTTTGGTGGACGCATCAGCGTCACGACGGCAAGCTGTGGAACCTGAACAACTACCGCACGGACATGATCCAGGCCCTGGGTGGTGTCGAGGGCATTCTTGAGCATACCCTCTTCAAAGGCACCTATTTCCCCACCTGGGAGGGTCTCTTCTGGGAGAAGGCCAGCGGTTTCGAGGAGAGCATGAAGTACAAGAAGCTGACCAACGCGCAGCGTGCTGGTCTCAACCAGATTCCCAACCGTCGTTTCACTCTGTGGTGGTCCCCCACTATCAACCGCGCCAACGTTTACGTCGGCTTCCAGGTCCAGCTCGACCTGACGGGCATCTTCATGCACGGCAAGATTCCCACGCTGAAGATCTCCCTCATCCAGATTTTCCGTGCGCATCTTTGGCAAAAGATCCACGAGTCCGTGGTCATGGATCTCTGCCAGGTCTTTGATCAGGAGCTGGATGCTTTGGAGATTGACACGGTGCAGAAGGAGACCATTCATCCTCGTAAGTCGTACAAGATGAACAGCTCTTGCGCTGATGTCCTCCTATTCGCCGCGCAAAAGTGGCCCATCAGCAAGCCCTCGCTGCTGGCAGACCCCAAGGACCAAATGGACATGATCACTTCGGACCGCTACTGGCTGGATGTGCAGCTGCGTTGGGGTGACTATGACTCGCACGACGTGGAGCGTTATGCCCGTGCCAAGTTTCTCGACTACACCACTGACAACCAGTCCATCTACCCCTCACCCACGGGCGTTCTCATCGCCCTTGACCTGGCCTACAACCTGCATTCGGCCTACGGCAACTGGTTCCCTGGTTGCAAAATCCTGATGCAGCAGGCCATGGCCAAGATCATGAAGGCCAACCCGGCCCTGTACGTGTTGCGCGAGCGTGTGCGCAAGGGTCTGCAGCTCTACTCTTCCGAGCCCACCGAGCCCTACCTCTCGTCGCAGAACTACGGCGAGCTCTTCTCCAACCAGATCATCTGGTTTGTGGACGACACCAACGTGTACCGCGTCACCATCCACAAGACGTTTGAAGGTAACTTGACGACCAAGCCCATCAACGGCGCCATCTTCATCTTCAACCCGCGCACGGGGCAGCTCTTCCTCAAGATTATCCACACATCTGTGTGGGCTGGCCAGAAGCGTCTGTCACAGCTGGCCAAGTGGAAGACGGCTGAAGAAGTGGCTGCGCTGATTCGCTCCCTGCCCGAGGAAGAACAGCCCAAGCAAATCATCTGCACGCGCAAGGGTATGCTTGACCCCCTGGAGGTGCACATGCTCGATTTCCCGAACGTTGTGATCAAGGGCTCGGAGCTGTCTCTGCCCTTCCAGGCGTGCCTCAAGGTGGAAAAGTTTGGCGATTTGATTCTCAAGGCCACCGAGCCCCAGATGGTGCTGTTCAACCTCTACGATGACTGGCTGCGCAACATCTCGGCTTACACGGCGTTTTCGCGTCTGATCTTGATCCTGCGTGCCTTGCACGTCAACGTGGACAAGGCCAAGATCATCCTCAAGCCCGACAAAACCACCGTGACCGAGCCCCACCACATCTGGCCGACGCTGTCGGATGAGGAGTGGATTCGGTGCGAGGTGGCCCTCAAGGACCTGATTCTGGCCGACTACGGCAAGAAGAACAACGTCAACACGACGTCGCTCACCCAGTCAGAGATTCGTGACATTATCCTGGGTATGGAAATCTCGGCGCCCTCGCAACAGCGCCAGGAGATTGCGGAGATTGAGAAGCAGACGCGCGAGCAGAGTGCGCTGACTGCCACGACCACCAAGTCTACCAACGTACATGGTGACGAGATGATTGTGACAACCACCAGCAACTACGAGCGCAGCGTCTTTAGCTCCAAGACCGATTGGCGCGTGCGGGCCATCAGCGCCACCAACCTGCCTTTGCGTACCAAGCACATTTATGTCCCCGACCACGACATTACCGAATCAGGCTACACTTACGTGCTGCCCAAGAACATTTTGACCAAGTTTATCTCGATCAGTGACCTGCGTACCCAGATTGCGGGCTACATGTTTGGCGTGTCACCCCCGGACAATCCTCAGGTGAAGGAGATTCGCTGCATTGTCATGGTGCCGCAGACGGGCACGCATCAAATGGTTGACTTGCCCAATCAGTTGCCGGAGCACGAGTACCTGGAGGAGCTGGAGCCTCTGGGCTGGATCCACACGCAGCCCAACGAGCTGCCCCAGCTGTCGCCCATTGACATTACCACGCACGCCAAAATCATGGCGGACAATGAGTCATGGGAACTGGACAAGACTTGCATCATGACGTGCAGCTTCACGCCCGGTTCCGTCTCGTTGTCGGCGTACAAGTTGACGCCCGGAGGCTTTGAATGGGGACGCAACAACAAGGACACCAAGAGCCCCAACCCACAGGGTTACTCACCTTCGCACTACGACAAGGTGCAGATGCTTCTGTCAGATCGTTTCCTTGGCTTTTTCATGACGCCTGTTGAGTCGTCATGGAACTTCAACTTTATTGGCGTGAAGCACAAGGCTTCCATGCGCTATACCCTCCAGCTGGCTAACCCGAAGGTGCGATTTCTGTCCTGCATTTTGCTTCATATTCTTGCCCCCCTTTCTAGCATTGTGTTGCAACACAGTTTCGTCTGTTACGTGACACCTCACTTTTGTCGTGCCCTTTTGGGGCTCTGTCTCGTGTTATCACAGGAGTTTTATCACGAGGTACATCGACCCAGCCACTTTTTGCAGTTCAGCAAGATTGAGGAGGAGGACGGCACTGATGGTGCTGATCGCGAGGACATGTTCAGCTAGGCCAAGTGTCGTTGGGCCTATCCAGGGTTTGGCGACCTGTCGCCATGTGCGTGTCCTTGTCCTGCATGTTTGAAACTGATGGGTGTTGCTTGTGTCGCGGATTTGTGTTGGCCTTGTGGGCCCGGATCCATGTACTTTGTGTTGCGTTTAGCGTGGCCTTCCAAGTGCTTCAAGGCGCGGTCGCCGCTGAAACGTGATCTGAGGCTTTTTAAAGACAAAGATTGGACGCTGGTCCAAACTTTCGTCACAAATTGAATTTGATTTTACATGTTGTTAGTACACACACGAACTATAAAACAATCGCGTTCTCTCTCTTGCGTGTTTTGCCCACAGCGAAACGTCGCCAGCTCGGGTTGTCGAAGGAGAGGACATGGTTCTCAATATTGGCTGTAGAAAGGCTCTCACTGCTCCTCGTTCTCTTCATTCGGGGCTGCAGTTTCTTCAGTGTCGCGGCCATTCAGGTCAAGGTGCTGCGTGGTTCGCAAAATAGTGGCAGTGCGATCTTCAAGGGAAGTGTCGGGGACGGCAAGCATTTCTTCGAGGCTTTGATTAGACATCTCACGGCTACGTTCGCATGCATGTGCTAGCAAAGCCGTTAGTCGGTAGAGCTGATCGCACATGTCATGGGCTGCAAGAGAGAGGGCGATAAAAGTGTGAACATCAATGAGAAGACGACGATGCGATGCGATGCTGGGCCAGGTTTGGTGAGTTGTTCAGACTATGGGCGTCGGAAAGAGGGGCCGAGAGAGCAAAAAAGGAAAACTCAAAAGTCTTCCAAATACCTGATTTGGCTTCAAGCATTTGCAGTTTCTCCGTTAAATCTTGACGCAGCTGGGCGTGTCGCGCAGCGAGTCGCCCAGCCTCACGCAGAGTGAAGCGAAAATAATAATTGCCTGTTTTCACGTCGTTGTCCACCTGGTCTTGTTCCTACCATTAGAATGACATTTGCGAAGGCACATTCCCAATCCCACCGGCATACACGGGGAACGAGAAGGGAAAATATTTATTATGGCATCAAGAGGGAAAAAGAAGAAGGAGACCGACGGGCAAGAGCTCGCTGACATACGCGATCACGGGCTTGCTCTGCTGCCATTTCAGCTACGCGAATGCAAAGCGCCAAATACTGATTGCGTGCCTGCATGTAGCGGTCCTGGGTTTGCTTGGCATCAGGAATGGCAATGGTCAAATATGTATGGAGCTGCTCTCGCACAAACTTGGCCTTGGGCAAGATCTCGGCAACTGAAAAATAGTAGGATCTATGTGACCCACAATGATTGGTGCATTAGAGGAACCCGTGTGCAGGTGGGCCAACGATGATTGCGTGTGCGTCCAAAGCAACCGCACTTGTGGGACTTGGCAACACCAGTCATTCTGGAATGCAAAGCACGATTGGTTTCGGTAGTACTGGCGTTTTCCAAGAGCTGACCATACTCCTGCTGGACATGTGCCAGGGCCTCGAGGCGGCGCAGGTACAGGCTCACATGACCTTCCAGGGCCTCGTAGGTCTTACGAGTGGCTCCAAACTGCTCCATTTTCGCGTTGAACGCCTCTGCGTGAGTCGCCATGATTCAAAAACACGAAAAGACAGTTGCAGCTGATGAGAGAGAAAAAGGTAGAAAGCATCATCTTGTTCTTGAGCCGCGGTCACAGGGCTTGCAGGTAAATTGATTGAACTTTCAGGTGCAAACCCTTACCAACAGTCTCCTCCTTGAGCTCGGCACGGTACATGGAGAGCACATCAAGTGTGCCTTCTGACGCGTGAAACTAGGGTGGTTCAAAGTCCGTGGTCGATCAACCGTGCACTCTGTGAGCGGGAGGGGTGCGCGAGGGTTCAGGAAAGTGGGTCGTCATTGCCTTACCGCTTTGGCCCATGCACGTTGCAAAGAAGTAACGGCTAAGGATAGACGGATAGGCCGATAGGCCCAGATCGTGGCTTATAAGGGTGCCGGGCCAGTATTGAAATGACAACAAACGATGAGTGGTTAAGAGGCTTACCAGTTGTGCGGCGAAGGAAGAATTCGACTCCAGATGGGGTCTCGTCTGGCAGCTTGCGTACGGTAAGCCGGGTGGCTTCCTGCGCACGCAAAAATAGAAATGAGCAAGGACGGGCCAAGGGGACGGGAGAGGCGGACACGAAATTGATTCTTGGAGCTGGGCCAAGCTCACATACCGGCTGGGTGTGCAGAATATCATGAACCTCGGCCAAGCTTTTGCCTACAATGTCAGCGCCAGCGCCCGCACCACGATGAGCTGAGCTGAGTTGGTTCGGTGCTGGCCCAGGACCAGTGGGGGTGAAAACAGCTGGTCTGACCAATTAGAATTTGGTCGTTCACCATGATAACTTCATCGCCAGCCTCCAGCATCATGTCGCCGCGGTCAGCATCGGGGTCTTGCTGAACAGCAGTGATATAGATACAGGGGCAAAACGCTGCAGTGCCAATTGCATTCCAAGGCAGAATACGCGGGGGTCCAGTCAGCACACAACGCAAAACGTCTTGCCAGATGTGATGCCAGCATAGCACGTACGCGCGCCGCCGCCGAGGCGAAAGGGCCAGTTCCCATCTTGCGTGGCAGCGACCGTGATGGTGACAGGCGCTTGCTGAGCCATGAGCTGTGGAATGCCCCATTCGTTCATGTCCGAGTCAGCTGGAGCACTTTAGCGTCGAGAAAAAACACTGGCCGCCACGACAAACCTGCGCAAATTTTCCGTGCAGTGACAGGTCACTGGGCAGCTCCTCCTGGGTCGCCATTGCGGCGGACTGTGATCAGCCAGCTAGCAAAGGGAATTCTGAAGCGTCCCACCACACCAAACCAACTCAATCTATCCCCGGCGCCACGACGAGACAATGCCTGTGTGAGGCCGCCGCCACATCAACCCGCCCCCGACCCCGACGCCCCCCCCCACATACACACTTACCGAGCGAGAGAGACGAGAGAGAGAGAGACAAGAGAGAGAGAGAGAAGAAAAAAAAAAT